GTGGAGGGACGCTCATTTTTAAACTTCATTAAGGTACTTCTGACAAATGGCCTTTTCCTGGCAATGAAAAGAAGCCGGGCACCAGGGGCATGAAAGTGTTAATGAATCTCCCCCCAAAATGAAGGCTGACTCTCCTCTCACCAGCAGCCTAATCATTCTCTTCATTGGTGGGATTTTGGCTCTGCTGTGCAGTTTTAATTTGAATTGTGTATGTGGAATCCACCATCAAAAAGCATTTGCAGAACAATGCATCTAATTTTATTCCATCTATTTTTTTAAAAGGGTTTACATGTAATTCTTTACATAAATATATATATGGACTGTAAAGATACACACCAAAAGACGAACAGAGCAGATGAGGGGGAACCACCTGCCTTATTACGTGAGATCGGTCTGTGTTGTTCGACTCCTTTACAATAGGGAGATGGACGAGGAATAGGAAATTGCAAAGGCATATGCAAAAAATAATCTACTAGCTTTGCAAGGGGAGGTAACTGATGAGGTCCAGGCCCTCTGGGGAGTTCCAAGAGAAGGCCACTTCTGCTGCAGACAGACAGAAGGACAAACAGATGAAACCAGCTCATGGGGCTGTTAAAGTCGAGGGTGAGTTCTTCAAGCCCCCACTACCACCTTCTCACCTCTCGCCCGCTCGCTGCTCATTTAGGGTTGACCAAGATTTAGAATCTTCGGGAAACTCTTTGTCCTCTTGACCTTGAGCAGGTGAGCAGCAGCTGTAAGTGGTAAGACGCTGTGAACCAGCCCAGAGCAGCTAGGAGTTTCAAGACATCCCTGAGGCCCTGGCATCTCCAGAGCAAGGTGGGGCCAGGGGAAGGCCAAGTTCCACACCCAGGCCCTTCCCCGGGGTGACACCTCCAGGTAGTGGAGGGGCTTTAAGAAGCATTGACTCCTCCCTGCCAGTTCTCAGCTCAAATCTCCATTAATTATTATTATTATATTAATCAGCCATGTGATTAACTCAGTGATTCATAATTGATTGCATTTTATATGGTGCCTTTCATCCCCGCGCCTTCCAAGATGTGCACTGCCTGTCTCGACCACAAGAGACTTGTGGAGCGGGACGTGTTCTCTGCTCGCCTGCATTTTGTTGGGTAAACTTCTCTTCGTAAAGGTGGGGTAATAGTTGTCAGGCAGACTGGGCTCGCAGGCCCCAGCTCCATGCCACCTCGCTGAATAGTCACTCCGGGGGCGTGCCTGGCCCAGTGTGGCTGTGCCCTGAGACCCCATCCCCTTGCAGGCAAGTGTGTCTAGGCTGTGGGCTGCTGGGTAAGGCCAGCCTTCCTCTGCAGGGAGGCAGGACCACACAGTGGCTCTGGACGAGCCCTCCAGGGCCCGACCCTAGGTAAATCCGCTGTGTGAATAAGCTACTTTCCTCGCTGCCTCCATTTACCCGAATGAAAAATGAGATTAAAGTCTCTACCTTCCTAGGATTAAGGTGAGAATGAAATTCAACGAACATAAAGGCCTTGGAACCTGGTGCACAGTAAGTGCTGAAGAGAGTGTGAGCAGCAATGGTGAGAGCCTTCGGCCTGGACCCAGCAGCAGCGATTCTGTGACTAGGCTGGTTTCTCTCCTTCTCTGGGCCTTCATTTTCTCGGCTGTGAAAATGGGATGACTGGTCAACCTTGAGGGTTCCTTCCACATCTTAAACGTGGCTTATAGTCACAGCTGGGATTTGGGGCTTCAGAGTCAAGCAGCTCTGGACTCTCATTACTGCTCGTTTTCCTATCTGGGTGACCTTGAGCGAAAGACTCACCTTGCCAAGTCTCCATTGTCTCATCTGGAAGATGGAGAGTCTGGGCATTTCTTTTTTTTTTTTTTTTTTTTGGGGTTTTTGTTATAGGGCGCGTGCGCTCACCAAAAATACAGAGAGAGACAGAAAGACAGAAAGTGAGAAATCACCTCCCAGGGAGATGGCCACGCCGCAATCCCTTCCCCTCCATTCTCCTCTCGGGATCTTAGGCACGCATGCACATGTGCCCGACATGAGTTTAAGCCACCGGGTCCGGGACTCAAACCGTGGTCGATTACATGGG